TTGTTCTTGTTGTTTTAGCTGGGAGTTTTAGCTGGTAGAAAATAATTTGTACTATAGAAAAAAATAGTTTCTAGCTAGTGGGATTTGTTAAGAGGTTTTTTACTTTTATTTTAACAACAATCATTAGCATATAACTGTTTGTCATCAGGCTTCAAGTATTATTCAATTACATAGAATTCAGATTTTCTTCTTTTAGTTCAGGTTGTTTTACTTGGGGTAAAAAATAATTTGTGCTGTTGGAATATAGCTGTTCTGTTTTCAATACGAAATGAAATACATGTTTAATTTTTTATTATGTCCACACTTTGGTTGTCTCCATTGGACCAATCCTGTGGTCATTTGTGTAAAACTCTTAACTTCTAAATTGTAGTAACTCCAAAATTCACAATTCTTTTTAGCTAATTTCTTTCATAACTATACTTATACATAACTGTTCTTTATACCACTGGCTTCGACTCTACCTTTCTGATGTTAAACAAAGTAACAAAGTAGACAAAAGTAGCTATAGTATTGTTACCATTAATTGAAAATCAAAACAACACATGCTAAGCACTTTTGCAACATGTTATTAAATTAAAATAAAATTATATTTGGTACTATATGCATATACAAAAGGATAAAACGATATAGAAATTATTACATGCAATGGATTCCAAATGTGGTATGCCTCAAACTAATAGTGAAAAACATGTAATGTCTCGATCAGCATAATTTTATACCTCTGCCCTGATGTACAACTGAAACATTTTCATTATTGTTAATAATTGTATTTTGTACAGGCTATATCACAATCATTGTCCACAGCTAGAAAAATAATAGATCAACACCTGGGTCTAGAACAATTAGGCCACTATTTAGAGCTGTTAATTACATTATTTTAGTTGCAGTAAGACATTCAAAGTTGTTTTTGATCAATCTATACATTTCTTTTTAGCTAATTTCTTTCCTAACTATACTTATACATAACTGTTCTTTTATACCACTGGCTCCAGGTCTACTTTTCTGATGTTAAACAAAGTAACAGAGTAGACAAAAGTAGCTATAGTATATTTAATTGTTACCATTGATTGAAAATCAAAACAACACATGCTAAGCACTTTTGCAACATTTTATCAAATTTAAATAAAATTACATTTGGTGCTATATGCACAAACAAAAGGATGAAACCATATAGTAATTATTACAAGCACATTCCAAATGTGGTATGCCTCAAACAAATAGTGAAAAACATGTTATGTCTCCGCATAATTTTATTCCTCTGTCCTGATGTACAACTGAAACATTTTGTATAGGCTATATCACAATCATTGTCGACAGAGAAAGAGAATAGATCAACACTTGAGTCTAGAACAACTAGGCCACTATTTAGAGCTGTTAATTACATTATTTTAGTCGCAATAAGTCGATTGTTTTTGATCAATCTATGCATTAGGGCCATTTATACGAGCGAAAATAAATCGCAGCCTAAATAAACCCAACCTTTTATAGTAGACCTCGTCCAAAATAAGCCGCGGCAAACATTGGTGTTCAGCATCAATTTACACTGCAAAAACTGTCTTGGCTGCCGGGACTTGCGACCGCGAATTTGAGTCGTTTATACGAGTGTTTGCATGCGACCAATTTGAAATAATATAAACAATATCCCAAATAAACGCGCTGTTTGCAATTTAAATAAGCCGCGGCTTATTTTCGCTTGAAATAAACTGCTTATTTTCGCTCGAATAAACAGCCTTGTTGCTTACCTCCATATTGAACACAAAAATGTTCAGTACTTTGATGTAAATCAGCCGTATCGAAAGGCCTATTTAAAAAATTCTCTTCCGATTCCTATCAGCATAAGGGTGAAATATTAAAAATGCATGCTCCCCCTCATTCCGTAAAAAAACCCCCCGGAAATCTGTGACAGACAGAAGGACAGACAAAAAATTGAGATTTCGACTATATATACGTCCTATGTCAAGAATAGTGTGCTGCCGTGCTGGTGCAGCAATTATTGATCCTCAATTCATTTGAACTTCTTTTCAAAAATATTGTTGGGCAGTTGAGGGATGATCAAATATCGAGAATATATTGATATTCTGAAACATTCAAGTCACGTCGTCTAATGTTATATCTCCTCCGTCTTTTAAATCATTTAACTTATTTTTTATATTTTTCCACAAATCTTTTGTAGTTCTAATTGTTGTTTGAGAAACATCGTCATCACAAAGTGGATACAGTATCTATGTAAATCTCATGGGTGGTTGCGGATAGTTAAACCTACAATATTTTTGGAATTCTTTTGACATGTGTGAGAGTGTTTGTGTGTTTGTCTGTTTACAAGTTCAAGTAATTTTTGGTCATCCTTGGGCTTTCTACAAGTTATTATTTTGTCAATGAATGCAGCTACATCCTCATCTTTATCTATACCAAATACTGGTGCATTTTCAAGCCAAATGAGCATGTGAATGTGAGGTGAACCTCTCTGTTGATATTTTACCCGGTAAAACCAATGTTTTATTTTACCTAACGGAGCAAAGTCACTCATCAAAAATTCCTTTGAAAAAGTATTAAATTGGTAGTCAAAATGTCTTGCACATGTGACTGGGTCACTTTGAATAAGTTTACATTTCTGCTCCCAGGTTAAATTTTTAATTTCATAATCAGTATAATCTTTGTGATCCACAACTTTACCAAGAATTCTCAATTAAAGTGCTTCTTAAAGCTCTTAGAAATTTGAATCTGTCATCATGACAAATTAAATTCGCTAAGCCTTCAGGTCTTTTCAACTGTCCAGCAGTAATCGTTCTACTCCCTAATTTGTGCTTTCGCAGGGCAACTTGAGATTGTCCTAGTAATAGTTTCATTTGTAATTTCTTTGCCTTAAATCTTGCGTCTTGTAAGCTAATAACATGCAGACAAGCAAGAAATCCCCCCCATCGAATATAAGAACTGCTATTGTTGATTTAAATTATATGCACAAATATATTAGGTGTATCCTCACCAGTAGCATAGCCAGACTGACGATTTGTCTCGTTATGCTAATACTTTGGTGTTCACTGACTGTCAAAACAATACATTTCTAAAGACCTGAAAAACTCTAATAACTCAAAATTTACATAGCAGAACAAAATCGTCAGGCTGGCTATGCCACTGTTCCTCACTCAACAATACAAACATAACTGTTTTATGTACACTGTATATAACACCCTAATTTTCTTTTGTATCTAAAGCATGTTGTTCTTACAACAATTCCTGTGGAACTTCCTTCGGCATAGAATGTATGGGTTGCTATTTGGATTAATATCAATAATATGCACAAATATACTAGATGTATCCTCACTTAGCAATAAAAACCAACTTTTTACTGCATATCAGATCCTTACTTACTTTCTAGAGATTAATTGCACTCGGCAATGACCACTGCTGTCACAGTGATTTGGGTTTTCCCGTGAAATCTGTTTCCCTCTGAATAAAATCCCCTATTGATAGCAGAACATTAGCCCCATGCATTACCGGCAGAATTTCCATAACAAATGAAGATAGCAGCTGTCTGATATGGGGCGCCAAATGTAAAAATAATGTTTACACACAAAATAGGTGTTATTTTTCATTATTTAGTTATGTAATATGTTATATTAATACAATCCAATGATTATTTACAAACAATCCACGTATTATTCGCAAACAATCTATACATTGTTTACAAATAATCCATAGATTGTTTGCAAAAAAATAACCAGATTATTTAGTATGGTTTATAAACGGTTTATTTTCAAATTAAATAATCCAAAGGTTGTTTTCAAACAATCTATGGATTATTTAGATCGCTTGCTAAACAATCCGTGGATGGTTTACATATAATCCTGGGATTATATGCGCGCGCGAAATGTTACAAAAATATGGCTGGCGCCGAATGTAAAATAAGCAGGAAATTGCCTGGGTACAACTGCTATGGTACGGGGGGGGGGGGGGGAGTCTCGATCGTGAAATGGCGCCAAATTCCAAAAGTCGCTCAACGAGTCAACGACAACACAAGCACTAGCTAAAAGAATACAAATGAATAATTCATCAAACGGTTTGTCAGCTACGAATGTTCTCTGCCAAATTGCAAGGCTGATAGAATCAGTAACAAATAATGCGGATGTTGGTACATCTGCAAGTTCAACACCCCAGGTAACTAAGCTTTATACATTATAGCCATACAATAAATTGTTGTTAAAACATGGAGGTCGGTGTTGTGTTGGTTTATAACTGTTTGTGATGTTTTAGCAAAGACCCGCAGACAGAACTAACGTGGAAGTTAATTCCTATCCATTGCCTTCTGGCTACACACCACCTACTACAGGTTCTAGAAGTACTTCTAGAAGTGTTGGTGCATCAAGTTCAAATTCTAATAGCTCTTCCAAGAGCAAAAGGAAGACATTAGGATTTGTTGGTCGACTAAGGACATGGAATAAAGATGTTGTGTGCCTTCCATATTCACGTGACAAGATTCTATCCATTCCTAAAGGAAAGCAACGAGGTGCCTTATCTGAGAGGGGATTAATTGGGAAAATCCGATTAATGTCGAATTGGAATGCTCTTCAGGTGAGTTCAAAAACAACATTGATAGTGCAATTGACAGTTAATTCGAATTAGATAACTGTATTTTGTAATTTATGCATCTACTGAAATTGACGGTTTAGAATGAGCAACAAACTATATATGTTTTTGTTTCTCATTACTATATGCATACATAGAGATCCAGCATGGTTTTGTAGGGACCGTGCCTCATTGGGTAGTTTAATTCTTTAAAAAATTCCTAGAATTTTCAACAGAATTTTCAGACACAAAACAAATTTGCACACAAACACACACACACATGGCTAACTCCATCCCTGGCATAAACAAGAGCAATTGCAGAAGAACTTTGCAATATTTTTATTCCAAATTCTTGGTTAAAAAATTTTGGGAACTTATACTTCCAAGGGGTTGCATGCAATCATATCCTAACTTTGTTATTTATTTTTTAAGGTGAAAGAGGAAGTGACATCAGTTTTTTCGCAAGTATTTTCTCTCAATGCAGATCAACTGCTTGATTATGATTACTTGTGTGTAATGACTGGTATGAAGAAGCTGAAAAGGCCTTCTGTTAGTAGTAGCTTTTCATGGAGTGGGCAGGAGGTTGCATCCTTGACTGGACAAGGTAGCCTATATATTATGGCAAACACACCACTACCATCGAAAATTTCAGTGATCGTAAGTATCTCTGTATTGTTTGATTTTCATATTATACCTGGATAGGGATATTTCGGATATATTAGTTAAATTCAAGACGTATTAGCAATAATGCTAAAATTTTCCTTGTGTTCTAATGTTTATTTAGGTTCAAATATGAGAAATAATTTCCAGTTTAACGTTGTATATTATTATCATCCCTTCCACATTCATAGTTTACAGTTTATGCTTTTGGAAGGACAACCAAACTGTAATATAAGTTTTTGAGGTATATCGTATTCGTATAGTAACCCCCTACCATATCAATCCTTAGGGTGATGATGATGATGATGATGACGACAATGACTGTGAACCTGAATTGCAAGCTACAAATAATGGTGCTTCTGAGCAAAGATCTATAGCGGGTACAATAGAAGAGCCACAAACTGTTGCAACGGTACAGTGAAACCCTAATTTTAACATACTTAGAGTTGCAGCATGAATTCGAAAGTGCAGCACTTTCTTAGAATTTTTTAAAGGAAAACATGAAATAGTATTCTGCACATCCTTTCCTGCTATGTGACAATTTTTGATAACCTATAGGTTGGGAGCGAAGGTGTAAACACTTCAGACCTTGACATTTAACAAGCAATGTTTCCTCAAACATCAGCAGCTGTCATAGAGGAGGCATTAAAAAGCAATCTTACAATAGATTTTGCCATTGAGGAGTTATTTTCCCATTCTGTTGAATCTGTAGAAACATCAGGTGAGTCCTGCTTGTAGCCAAATGTGATACAATTAATTACTGTACAGTGTATCTATGGCGTTGGTGTGAGCAAGTGACGCACGCTGCCTCGTTGTTGCAATAGCGGTATATAACGGTATTTACAACAGCGGGATCGTGCTATTGTAGTTGGCGACATTTTGTTGAGATTTTTGACATCTTTGGAATTTGCAGGCAACTTTGAAGCAGCGGAATTCTTTGGACGGCAGTTGACTGGTGACATTTATACGCTCTCGGTTTCTAGAGATAATTTTTGGCAGGGGGCGTTCATGTTTTACAAACGTGGTACAGACTTGGAAAGGCCATTTCGTGTTTCGTTCGATGAAAATGGCATAGAGCTTGGAATAGACACTGGAGGGCCTCGTAGAGAGTTTTTCCAAATACTGGCAGATAGCATGACGTCGACGTACTTCGGGTTTTTTGAGGGAGATATACCAAATCTTTTGCCAGCGATGAAAGGACCGGCGTTAAGACTTGGTCACTTCCGAATAATTGGAACCATGATCGCCCACTCGATAGTCAATGGGGGGATAGGTAAATATATTTTTATTTTTCCATGCACGCGAAAAGGAAATATTAAGGTCACCATATATACTGTGTTACAAAAATGAAGAATTCGACGAATTTCTTTCACGCGGTTGATGTAAACGATATTATACTCCTTGTAGGATTTCCGTATTTGTGTAAACGACTATTTGAATACATGTTACATCAAATTGCGGAGTCCTGTCTTGTGTTCTGCAAAACAGAGATGGTACCACATAAAGAAACAAAGGACTTAATTCAAGAGGCAAGGATGTGAAGATGAGAAAATATGATAAATAGGAATTATGATTTATGCCAAAATGAAATAATCATAAAATTAAATGTAGCATTTTAATTCTTTAGATTTCTACATGTACTGAAGAAAACTTTCCCCGATTAGCTTCACGACCCGATGTTTTGGATTACATTTTCAACACAGGTGCGCACAGTCCTGGATTTTTTATAAACCTACACATTTAAAACCATGGCCCGTGAATGTGTATGTGTATTTTTACTATTCAATTGATAGGGTGGACTGGTGTCATTGCCTTCAAGGACAAGGAACAGATTGTTGCCACTGCCATCCTTCATGAAGTTATATGGAAACGGGAATCTGCTATCAACCAACTTTTTCAAGGATTGAAGTTTCTTAACGTGTTGGAAACTATCAGAAAATTCCCCCAGCACTTTCTGGGGAAGTTTGTCCATACGAATATTCCATTGAATATGACCGTCTTGCTACAATATATTAGATTCAACGAGCCATCAAACGATTTGGAAAAACGAGCAAAGGATTTCTTTGTTGAATATATTGGTGAGGATATTGAAATACCATGTGGTGACGGTAAGCTTTGTGTAAAATGATGACAGTCAATTAAATTAAGGTTGTACCACAAAAGCATAACTAAAAGAATTAGCTGTATACTACCCAGAAAGTCAACTACCAGTACAATGTTTGATAGTGTGGTCCAGTGTATTTTTCTTATTTTTTACTAGATAAACGGTTTAGAAGATGTACGGCTGTTTTACAATTCATTACTGGGCAACAATCGATTGCTGGGGGCCTTCCTAGCAAAATAGAAGTTGGGTATATTGAGGATCCTGAGGCAAATTATCCTACAGCTGGCACATGTGGTTTCAAGTTTTACCTTCCCACTAAACATGATATGTTTAACCAATTCTCAGCAGACATGGACAAAGCACTGGAGTGTGAAGCATATGGTTTTCATTGCTTTTGAGTAACTGTGTACAGTAATCAAAATAATGTTTTTTCATCAATTTACATACTTTATAATGTTGCCTGAACTGAACACAAGTGTTTATGCTATACTTATATATAGTTGAGTATTTATTTATGTATTTATTTATATTATACAGTATATTACATATGTTTTGTTGCATGGTCCTTACAAGATCTGCTAGTCATTTTGCACATTGTGATCAAAAGAATTTGAAAGATAATTCCCCACAAATCTAACAGTTTCTGTGTAAATGTCTTTCCCTTTGTCATCAGACACTGCCAATGGATTTATCACTTCCCGCAGTTCAGTCATTACCACATCAGGGAGAGGAGATACGGAAGGTAAGACTTCAACATATGGCAGAACGGTAGGGTTTCTCAGAAGTTCTAGGGCAGAAACTGCTGGGTACGGTGTGGAATGTAAAGTGGAGTGATGTAACTGGGTAAGATGTCGGTAAGCAAACATTAGCTGTTGCGGTGTTGCAGAACCTTCTGTGGAGATGTTATGACAGTTATGTGCATTAACGAAATCCGCTAAAGTTTTGTTTATCCTAGGCAGGTAAACATAGTGTAGACAAAACTTATCGGTGCTATTTGTCATGTCAAGCTTCTCTTCAAATTCAAGTTCTCGGAATGTTTCAGCAAAGTACTGATTAACTTGCACATTAACATCACCATTTAGTCTTTCAACACGTTGGTTACGAACAGATGTTCCAGCTATAACACTTCGTGGTCCTTGGGTGAATCATATGTCGCCATACTTCCACATTTTCACCACCATGGTCGGTTCTGACACGCAATGGTCTGCCATATTGGCCGATTGCTGCCATAAATTTTCTCAATACAGTATTAGCCTTGTTGTTATCTGATGTTTCCCCAAAAGTTATAAGTCGGGTAAAACCATCAATTGCAAGATGAGTTACAAAACCCCATTTCACAAGCTTGTGATTCCCATCTAAATGCCAAACATAATTAGGACAAGGAGTCTCGTATACCCGAGGGTGGAAGTTTCTAGAGCTTCGCTATGCAGGACCTTCTGGATCTACACGGTGTATGGATGCTCTGACTCTGTTCCTCTGAACCCTGATTCTCCGTGCTCTGAGGTGGCCCATGACATTTACTTCTCCAGCTTTGGGATGTGTTTCTTTAATTTCTGCAATAATTCTGTCTAGTTGAGAATCATCAATACTGGCAAACCTTGCAGAATGTTCGATTCCTGCTTCACCTAAGAGCTTGTATACAGTAGGACGGCTTACATGAAATCGAGTAGCCATTTGCGAAACTGTGAACCCCAGGTCAAACATTTCCTTAACTTGTTCAGGTTGCACGTCAGCTTTTGGTCTTCCTTTGCTATGATACAAAATAAGATCATGTTGATACAAACATATTATAAGATTTTGATGCATTCCTTTGGAAGATTAGCAATATCACCTGCAATAATTTGCAGGTGAGTTTATTGTCATAAGAAGTATAATTGCTTGCCTGCAATCACACGAGATTTTTTGGCAAGTATAACAAAACCAGACTCAAAAGATGGATTATTGTTAAAATAAAATAATAAGGCTGTAATATGAAACAGAACAAATTCGAAAATCTTACCCCCTTGATTCCTCGTTAATATCGTTGTCATCGTAATCAGGATGCTCTCTTAAAACTTCCTCGTCCGTGCGACTTGCCATGACTCATGAATTTTTCGTAAAATAGATATAATTGTCATAGCTGACAAACCGTTTGATGAATTAATCATTTGTATTCTTTTAGCTAGTGCTTGTGTTCTCGTTGAGCGACTTTTGGAATTTGGCGCCATTTCACGATCGAGACTCCCCCCCCCCGTACCATAGCAGTTGTACCCAGGCAATTTCCTGCTTATTTTACATTCGACGCCAGCCATATTTTTTTAACATTTCGCGCGCGCATATAATCCCAGGATTATATGTAAACCATCCACGGATTGTTTAGCAAGCGATCTAAATAATCCATATATTGTTTGCAAACAACCTTTGGATCATTTAATTTGAAAATAAACCGTTTATAAACCATACTAAATAATCTGGTTATTTTTTTGCAAACAATCTATGGATTATTTGTAAACAATGTATAGATTGTTTGCGAATAATACGTGGATTGTTTGTAAATAATCATTGGATTGTATTAATATAACATATTACATAACTAAATAATGAAAAATAACACCTATTTTGTGTGTAAACATTATTTTTATTTTTACATTTGGCGCCCCATAGTCTGAGGAGCTATGGTATGTATTTTTATATAACTTATAATATTTTTGTGTATGTTTTGAAATTATTTTATGAAAATTTGAATAATGTAAACCATTCAGTTTTTGTTTTCTATCAATTTATAGGCTTGTACAAAAAACTTTTACATGTTTATCAACTCCAAATCAATGCTAAGGTTGATTTTAAATGATAGTACAGATTTTGTTCTTATCTATTTAAGTAATATCAAATGTACAAAATGAATTATATACAATATATATTTATCAACTTATGTATTAGGGGCAGCATCCATATTCATGTTGCCACGCTAGACTTATGCTTGTACCCAACATTATACAGTTCACTTAATTTTTCAAAATTTTTGCAAAATTATCATTTTGCCACGATTAAGCCTCGAGACAATTGACATAAAACCCACCCACCTAGTCTAAGCGTCGATCCGACGCCTAGCGTGGCAACATGAATATGGATGCGGCCCCTTACTGATTACAACGCATGGTCATTATTATTTTAGGTGATCAGATAAGTAAATTATTTGCACCATGCCATGACCAATAAAGACTGACACATTTAAAGATAAGGTTCAGGACTTGTCAGTTCTGGGATCTAGACTTGCAATACCTGTAAAACTTGAGTACAATCTATATACATCTATAGTATCATATCGGCCTCCTTCGGTCTGTGGTGACCATGGGTTGAAAATCCTAGTTGTCTGTCCTGCTGGAACAGCGCCGCCTGTGGCTGAACAGGCCGATGCGCGAATGGCAGTCTCTGTCACACAAGTCACACTTGTGGATTGTCTCTGTGCTGTGAGAGCGGTCACGTTCTTTTCTGCGGGCTCGCTTTTCCTCCGCAGCACCTTTCAGCCGCTCCTCTCCTGTCTTCAGCTGTGTGGTCGCTGTGCTTCTCCATCTGGAGCGGTCATCGGCCAGGCTCTCCCAGCGCTCTGTGTCGATCTCAAGAGCTTTCATGTCCCTCTTGCAGACATCTCTATAGCGCAGCTGTGGGCGGCCAGTGCCTCTCTTGCCACTCACCAGTTCTCCGTAGAGGATGTCTTTGGGGATACGGCCGTCCTCCATGCGGTGAACATGGCCCAGCCAGAGGAGCCTTCGTTGTCTGAGCATGGTAAACATGGTTGGAAGGCCAGCGCAAGACAAGACTTCAGTGTTGGGCACTTTGTCCTGCCACAAAATGCCCAGTATGCGGCGGACGCACCTCAGGTGGAAGGCGTTCAGTCTTCTTTCTTGTTTGGCGTAGGTCGTCCACGTCTCACTCCCGTACAGTAGTGTACTGAGGACACAGGCATTGTACACTGCCATCCTGGTCTTGATGGAAAGTTTGGAGTTCTCCCACACTCGTGTGGTGAGGCGAGCGAGTGTTGTTGCTGCCTTCCCAATTCTTTTGTCCAGTTCTGTGTCCAGTGAGAGGTTGCTGCTGATCGTGGAGCCCAGGTATGTGAATTCGTTCACGACTTCCAGCTCATAGTCGTCGATGGTGATGGATGGTGGCACTTCCACGCTCTGTCCCAGTACGTTGGTCTTCTTTAGACTAATAGTAAGCCCGAAGTCCTTGCAGGCCTGGGAAAAGCGGTCCATCAGGGTCTGGAGCTCCTGCTGTGTGTGTGTTGTGACTGCAGCATCGTCGGCAAACAGCTTGTCGCGGATCAGGGCCTCTCGTACTTTGGTTTTGGCTTTGAGGCGGGCAAGGTTGAACAGCTTGCCGTCGGATCTGGTGTGTAGGTAGATCCCCTCTGTTGATGAGCCGAAGGCGTGCTTCAGGAGCATTGCAAAGAAGATCCGGAAGAGAGTCGGGGCGAGGACGCAGCCTTGTTTGACGCCGCTGCGTATGTCGAATGGCTCCGAGATACTGCCGTCGTACTGTACAGTTCCCTTCATATCAGTGTGGAAGGATTCTACGAGGCTCTGCAGCTTTGGGGGGCATCCTATCTTTGGCAGGATCGCGAATAGGCCCTCTCTGCTGACCAAGTCGAAAGCCTTCGTCAGGTCAATGAAGGCAACATACAGCGGCATGTTCTGTTCTCTGCATTTCTCCTGGAGTTGGCGGAGGGAGAAAATCATGTCTACCGTTGATCTGTTGGCGCGAAAGCCACACTGGGACTCAGGGTAGACGCATTCGGCGAGTTTCTGTAAGCGAACGAGGATGACGCGCGCGTACACCTTGCCAACTATGCTGAGGAGAGAGATCCCCCTGTAATTGTTACAGTCTCTTCTTTCGCCCTTGTTTTTATAGAGGGTGATGATCTTGGCATCCCTCATGTCTTGAGGTACAGCACCTTCCTTCCAGCACTGGCAGAGGACTTCGTGCAGTGGACGCAATAGGGCAGTCTTGCAGTGCTTGATCAGGTCGGGTGGTATACCATCACTGCCTAGAGCTTTTCCTGCGGCCAGGCTGTCAATGGCCTTATTGAGCTCATCCAAGGTTGGCTCCGCGTCGAGCTCGTTCATGGTCGGTAGGCACTCGATAGCATCAAGAGCTAAGGGGGACACTGTGTTCTGTCTGGAGTACAGGTCGGAGTAGTGTTCCACCCATCTCTCCATCTGCTGGCCCTTGTCTGTGATGGTTTCCCCAGTGGAGGATTTGAGGGGTGCCGTCTTGCTCTGAACTGTCGGCCAGTCGTGTTTCCTGCAGGGTAGCGATGTCTACGTTCAGTCTCTTCAGCTTGTCGTTGATGACGGCGGTCTTCCTGGCGTCGCTGATGTGTTTGAGGTTTTCTGGGAGGCCGGTCATCATAGTTAGT